CTGAACTGAATATTATGTGCATGATATCAAATGATTTGATTATGAATTTAGATTCAGTTTATATGGATGCTCGATGCATTAGATATGTTTACTCAGCTTCAACGCTGAGCGTGTAGTATGTTTTATTTGCTACACGCAGGTTAATGAAGTGACGTGATCCTGGAGGCAGACGGAGGCGAGATTGTCGGAATGGATGTGATGGTTTTGAATTAAAGAACATAAATAAATTATGTTTGTGATTATGATTGTTAAGCTTCCGCAATATTGAAAACTCCGTACTGTTTATATTATGAAAAATATTATTGTGATAAATAAAAGTGTTTGAAATGTTTTAAATTTTTACGATTACCAAGTTAATACTTTAATCTGAAAGGGGCTGCAGGCCTGGATAGATTAGGGTGTTACAATTTGGTATCGGAGCATATGGTTTTAAAACCGATCTTCGGATCAAAATTTGGATTTAATAATATATATATATATATATATATATATATATATATATATATATATCATTCGGCCTTTTAATAAAAAAATGTAAAAAAAAATCCACGACTCTCGCATCCCTCTGCTCTAGGAAAGGTATGAGAATTTGATTAGTAAATATTGACTTGTTAAAATTCTCATTTGATAACAATTGTTAGTACTAAAATTATATCGAGCATAGACTCAAGTCAAATTTTCGTATTTGGTAAAGAAACGAAAGAATAAAAAATGTATAAACCTCTGATACGTTATCAACGTACGCATCGCATCGTGAATGGCGAAGTTGATCTGTACCAGAAAAGTCGCACGGAAATGAGATGAACCTGAAGAACAATTCGTGTTGATATATGTTGAGAAACACCTGTGAAGCTGATGTCAAAGATCCTCATGTGGACTCAAGACGATCTAATCGCTGATTCAAAGACGAACGTTTAGAATCAATAAACCCTGTTATCTAAAGTATCCGATACTATTGTTTGTTTCATTAGGACACATTATGCGATTACTTAATGTGAATTGAAATCATTCGTTAAGCGACAATTCTTTGTAAAACATCGTTGAAGTACCATACAAGGAAAATCGACATTATCCTTAGTATGCATTAACTGACTGAACGTCGTTACTGTTGTCAACTTGTGATGAAGAATTCGTCAACTGAAGATTAATGATGGTAACCTTAGAGAGCTGAAAGCAAAGCTGATTTCTAAACCGACCAAGTTCATCTCGAATATATATACGAAAACATCTCAAGTGTGAAGTCTATTCGTGTGATACCCAAAAAGAAATATCTGAACTATAGGAACGTACCGAAAGTATGTCACCTCTCTGATATGAACTTCCTAATATTTCACCGTTCCGAGAAATTGAATTCTCTATCAATCTTGATCCTAGAAAGGACCAATATTCGTAACTCTGTATTGATCGTGTTTCCATCAATGACTTCTTGACAAAGAATCATCTGATCAACTGTTTCCTCCTTGGGAGAATACCTATTTTGTTCATACGCGAATGAAGAAGGATCAATGAGACTCTGTATCAACTACTGTCAATGAACGATTCGTTATCCTTTACCTCGTATCAATGACTTATTTGATCACCTTAGAGGATCCATTGTATTCTCTATGATTGACTTACGGTCAAGATACTATCACATTCCTGTTTAGATTGATGGACAAACTGATAATCAAAGAATCACTACCCTTCATTACGTATAGTCGATTTGTTCAAATAAACTACTTGTTAGAAGCTATAGACCGCTCAACCTTGTTGAATGAACTAATGCGTTGTTATGAAACGATGAATGACCTAATTGCTTATCATAAAAAACGTCGATGTAGGCTGATTGAAATAATGAAGTAAAGTTATTGACTCGTTCGTATACCATATTAATGTGAGAAATTGCGACGTGGTGACAAAACAAAACAAGATGTGAAACAGTGACACCAATAGTGAAAGACTGAAGAATGAAGAAAATGTAGCTTGCATATGGCTAACCATTGATGTTTATGGATAATATTATTTCAACAAAATACAACTTGGATTACATGAGGAAAGTTAAAAATGTAACTCCAAATCTAATCCCCCGGGATTTGCGAACTCGTCATAATTAGCCCAGCATCCGGAAAAGCCTTAGCAAACTCTAGTTTGTCTAAAAGCTCATCAACAAAGAAAGAAGAGATGAAAAGTTTCCTTTGATTCAAGACCATGAAGTTCTGCCTCACCGCATCATCTAGAAACTTGATTAAGTTATTGAAATAACCGTCAATGTTCAAAAGACCAATGGGTTTACTGTGTAAACCTTCGGATGCCCATGAGATCAAAGTGAATAAACCATCCACAGTGTCAATACCTCCAGGAAGTACGATGAAGGCTTCCACAATATGATTCATCTCGAAATACTTATAGTAATTGCTAGAAATGGTGTACTCTACACCGTACGTAGGTCCGTAAACCTGTCGTGTTGCTATATACCCTGGTATGAAACCTCTGACTCTACCACCATTATTATAGACTTTTGAAGCTACAGCTCCTTGAAGGCCAACGTTGCCTCCTCCGTATGTAAGCCTGATTTTCCGCCTTACCAATTCCCGTCCTAGATCAACCGTCGTAGCCATGAACCTTGGATTGCTACCAAGAGCATGACTACCAAGTAGACCAACGAATCTTATGGTATAAGAAAGAGCTCGAGAAGTTCCTTCCATAATGTGAGAATGTGAGATACCCTTGTCACAATCATGCTATATATAGACTTGAAATTTGATCTTTGAGAAAAGGGTAGTTATCCTTAGTCGAAATTTGTACAACAAAGATGGATTCGATTTACTACTGATAATGACGTACTCACCAATACTACAGTCTGCTCATGATATGACGTATTGAGACTCATGAACAGTTAGATTCGGTGTCTTGGAATACGTTCAACCACAAGACGAAAAGTCAAATGTCTATTGCCCTAAGACAACGACCCCTTGAGCAATTTCCAAATATTTAAACATTAGAGGATGAAAAGCTACAACTAGTGACGATGCTAGATTCATGTGTTTTGACTCATATCCTTGAAATACTCAAATTGTTGTGATAACTACACCCTTAAAACATCTCACTTGACCAATATTGAAAAGATTGGACTCCATTGTTTGTATCAAATCAATGAAAAGTTGTCTCGACTTATGGTTCTTCATTAAATCTCAGAAATGCTTTATAATACCGATCTTTGAAAACTATACCCCGTGGAATACGTGACTCAATCACAATAGTAAAACTACCCTGACTTGAACATTATGTTAAACCTCTCTTTGTGGACTACAAAACGATCAATACGATTACGTTATCTCTGAAGATTATTATCAATGATATTGTTAGAATCCTAGCAAAGAAAATGTATGTGCGACAACCAGAGAAGAAATGACGTCACAAGAACAGGCTGAATCATTCAAGTGAAGAACCTGAACCTATATGCGATGTTTGTGTAAGAACTATTAAAGATTCCTCACTCTATGAATTCATGACTCACATACTGAAGATATTCTTTTTCTCCCTCGAAACGAGATCAGCCATAGTGCTACAATCGAATCTGTCGCTATCATATCTAGATATGGTTTCAAATTAATAGAAGAAGTTTAAATACGACAAGTCGTACATGAGACGCTACTCGAACGTCATCACCTATGAGTACGAAGACTCATTAAACGATAAATGAGAGCTACCATGAAGATGAATGAAGAAATGTTTCAACACAAGGTCAATGAATGACGAACTACTGTACAACCGATCGAGACAAATCCCATATTCTGGAAATCATGAACCAATAAAAGCCATTTGATGTTACTTACGAATCATTGCTGAACTATGAGAACGATGTGAGGATGTTTTGGATGAAGATTACGCTATGACGTATGAATTAAACAACATCCAAATCTTCCACTACAACTATCGCGAACTTGAAACTGCAAATGCTACTGAAGGACTTTCAATCAAAGAAAGAATGTTGTTAACTAATGACGAACAATCAAGACTTTTGAATGAACGAAGTATGTCAAATATGCTCCAAAATACGATGTTATACCCTGCAAAGGAACCCAAGTTATGGATGTTGAACTTGAACAGGAACCCGCAAAAGGATTGTTCGATACCTTGTTTAAATCTAAAAGATTGTTAACCTCTTGAAGAAAAAGAACGAGTTTGATAACATCGACAGTTTGAGATTACGTATCCGTATGGATAATGACGTAATTATGGTTTAAGCAATTGAGCATGACACGGTCATGATTAAGTGAGATCACTACAAAATGTTGAACATTGGGCCTTAGAAGAATTTCGAGGACGAAATTCCTTTAAGGGGGTGAGAAATGTAACGCCCCAAAATATATTCTAAAATTTATTGAATTAAAAATTCAATTAAACAAAATTTGTTTTGATTAAAATAAATTGTTGTTGGGCTTTGGGCTGAAATAAAATATATATTGATATCCAATAAACATAATTGGGATAAATCTCATAGAGATAAATCCAAAATGTCGATTTATTGTGTGATCTTGATTGGGAACCTGAGTACAGACCCAAATTAAGAATAAATAAAGAAATTGTTTATAATGTGAACTTTGAAATGATTTATTGAAATAAATCATGGAAATAAATAATATGAATTAAATGTGAGAACCTTTTTGAATAAAGGTCAATTAAACCAATTTTGACTCTGTCAAAGTCAACCACCCAAAAATATGATGTCGGAAAAAGTATAACGAATAAATATAAAAATTATATCGTTGGATAGTGCTTAATTGCACGATCGCAACGGTGCAAACAGATTTCAATTCGGAGAAAGTTATACCAAAAAGTGTACCCCGACTAGAACCAAAATTAGTCCCAATCAGGGATGGCGCCTCCTACTCCACTCAGCCGATGGAGGATGCATTCCTACGCAAATCCTACGCAGCAAATGTTGTCACCTTCCCCATTCTCTTCCTATATAAGGCCACCATCAACCCTTTCATTCCTCACAAAAAACTAATGAGTTTAGCACCAAAGTGTTCCTGAGAGTGAGGAGAACATGCTGCAGTAGTTGGTGGCCACCGAAGTCGCCGGAGTTGGGAGTTTTCATCGCCGGAAGTTTCGCCGGAAAATTCTCAAAACCTTCGATAAGCTTCGAGGTAAGCCCGTAGATATATCTAGTGACTAGAATGTTCGTATAGATCGTTTTTGCGTTCATAAACGGTCGTTTGGTTGAGTTTTGTGTTTGACATGTTTGAAGAACCAAGAATCATAAACCAAGAAATTGTTGTTAAAACTACGAATTAATGACTCTAAAATGATCTGTGAACATTGGAGAACATTCCTATATAATCTAATTGAAGTTTGGTAATTAAAAATGAGGATGTTAAAAAATTGAACAGAGGAAGAAGATGATGAACAGTGGCCGAAAATCGATTATTTCCTTCCTGATAATCGATTAAAAATTTGTTGTTCGAAGTCAGTATATTAAAAAAAATATACATAATCTATTATCCTAATTATAAAAATCGATTTAATTGTATTAATCGATTATTTAATAACTAAATATCGATTTTAAGTATTAATTGATTATTTAAAGTATAAAAATCGATTTTTAGCAATTAATTTATTATTTAAAATATAAAAATCGATTTTTAGTAATTAATTGATTATTTAAAATATAAAAATCAATTTTTAGCATTTAATTGATTATTTAAAATATAAAAATCGATTTTTAGCTATTAATTGATTATTTTAAATATAAAAATAGATTTTTAGGTATTAATTGATTATTTTAAAAATGAAAATCAATTTTTTTTCAAGTCCAGATCATGTTCCAATAATATTCTGAAAATATATACTCTAAAATCCACCAATTGATTATGATCATTGGAAAAATGATTTACCATAATAAAAATGATGTTTTTAACAAATAAAAATGTTATGTGATGCATGACGGTAAGTTAGGGTGTTAACACCCGAAGCTAGGCCGCTAATTGTTATCGAATGTTATGTTGATTGATGATTATGGTAATGATTATTGATTGATGATTATGATGATTGAATCTTGATGAATATTCTGATTAAAATGATAATTTTGAATGATTAAATCATAATGAATATATTGATGATTGTGAAAATAATATGTATTGTTAAGGGTATCTAGAAGACCTCTAAGATATACCCATATTAATGTTGATTTGAAAGGTATCTAGAAGAGCTCTAAGATATACCTATTTAAGTTAGGCCTTGCGGGTATGAACCC